ACCCTTGATTTATTTAGAACAAGTCTTGGAAGAGTGCAGTGGGACTGTTTGTGGGCAGGAGAGTGGGGTTTATATGGGGGAGGAAGGGAGGAGACAGAACCCCAAAGGGAGTATTCACTCGTGACTGTTTAGCAAGTACAGAAACAAGTTAGAGATATCATATCATGTTCCTGGAGCAGGATGTAGTATACGCCCACATTCTTGTTTGAAGGAGATATATTTTGAAGCAGAACATGTGTTTTTCTTTCTTCCACCATTTCAACTCATAACAAAACAAGTTTTTTAACAGTAAAACCTTAGAGTTACATGAACAAATACATAATCAGATTACTGGTCATACTAATAAAAATGTAAAAAAATGGGGATTACTAGCAGGATAACAATGCAACAATACATTCAAGATTAACATCAACATAGTATCCAAGTACTGCCTGGGTTTACTTTTGGTCCTAATTCAGGCTACTTTCATTCTTTATTTTAAAATGTTTTCAAGTAAATGAACACCTCATCATTTAACTAAATTATGTGTTTGCTTCTAATTCAAGTATTAAACTGAAACAGCATTTGTTAACTTTACTATTCTGTAGGCCAAGCCGATAAATTAAGAGTCACATTTTTGGAGTGTGTGGGAGATAAACTCCCTCTGGAGGAAACACAGGGATTTTAGCCTTTGCAGAAACTTATATAACACCTTACAGGAAAGGGAACAACCCAAAAAGCACAATAGGTCCTCTTTAACCGGAGGGACTCCTACATCTTTCTTGAAACACAGCAACTGAAAACATGTGAAAACAAGAGAAAACATCAGCTCAGTTAGTGATCTTATATTTCGTTTTCAAGGAAATAAAAAGCAATTCACTGATTTTGTCTGTGATGAGCTTTTTCCATATACATGAAATGATCTGCTGTGATTCATATTGAATTAGTATCCCCAAAAACAAGACCTATGTTTGTCTTGGAAAATCCTACTTGCTTTAGCAGAAGCTAACAACTCAAATTGGTTTGCAAAACACCAAAAACAGGCAGTGATTTCATCAGAGGAGGGGCTGCTTTCATTCTGTGAGATGAAAACACTCTCTGAGGCCTGAAGTGCAGGAAAGGGCCTGGAGGTTCCAGTTGAGGGGCCCGACCGTGCCAAATTGTCTAGATAAATATGGCTTGAAGAGAGATTCTGTAGTTTCTTGGAATCCTAATGAAGCTGTCTTTTGTGTTTGTGTGCTGGCTGGAGCGGAGTCTGTGGAGCTGAAATGAGCATGTCGCGCCTCACAAAGTGCTGCGGAGCTGGGAAAGGGTCCTGGCAGGGTCCTGGCAGGGTCCTGGGTCCTGGCAGGGCCCCACTGCTCGCCAGAGGTGGCCGTCAGCTTTGGAAACCACAGAGCGGACACAAAGGACCAATCAGTGTCCTGAGAGGCTTCACAGGGCACAGGAGCTGTCAGAGGGAGCTGGGTCAATATCACTATAAAGTAACTTTGGCGTCCCCATCAGAATCACTCTGTTAGCAGAATAATGAAACTCTGAGGTCTTATTATAAAAGGCCAAACATTTACACACATATCAGTACAATGATAAGTCTCTTGAAATGTGTTTCCTTCATTTTATACCTTATTTTTTCATTGGATGTACGTGATTTTGGCATGTCCCATTGTTTGTACCATTGTCCACCCTGTCAGCAAGCCTTCCCATCACAGGGTGGACATGGTACAAATAGTTTGCCATCGTTTCATTATTATCCAAATACTTTTTCCATTAACTGAAATATATTGTTGAGAAAGGGACTATAGCTTTCTGAAAATGTACATTTTATAATCACAATGTAATTACAATGTATTTATTCTTTGAATTGTGTCCATGACAGGGTGGATACATTTAGCTGTTTGCATGTACTCGCAGTTCATTTATAAAAAGTGTGGGAGCTTGACCAACATCCATTTCTAACAGCATAACGTATATTTGATACAATGAATATGAAGTTCAATGGAAAGTCTCAAATGCACCGTATGGTGATATTGAGCCAGCTGATCGCAACACATTCCCATCACCTCAAACTGTAGCATTCATCCATTACTGTTATCATCAGGGATGGGAGGCTTACTTTAAAATATACATTGTTACAATTACTAGTTACCTCTAAAAAGAAATGTAATCAGTAACCTAGTTTTAATATCAAAGTATAAAAGTAACGTAACCTGATTACTTTCTTTTACTTTTGGATTACATTGATATCAAATAAAATGTGGATAAATATAAAGAAACTAATATATTTAGTATGAAAAATGTGTCCTCTGCTCAGAGATTTTATTAATAGGAAAAGCTGCGTTTCATGAAGCATATTCAGGCAGCAGTCTATTCACCAACACTGAAACACGTGAGCACATACTACAGTTTAAAAAAGCAGAAATAACATCTCAGCTGACAGAAAATGCTCCGTTTTAGTTTAATACACACAGTTAAGCTCACACACTATTTTATGAACATAGATTCACCTGCTGAATTAAAAACAGAACAAATGAAGCAAAGAAAGTGAAAACCATAAAGCAGATTCAGGCAGTAGGCGTATAGATTCACACTGAAAGTATTATCCTACAGAACAGTACAGCTCTAAGAGAAGAGACAACATCTGATCCTTTACAACAGACACTATATGATCTTTTTAGTTTGTTACTAACATTGTAATCCTGCTAGTAATCCCCCATTTTTTAAATGTAACAGTAATCTGATTACATCTGTTTGGAATACAGTCTCCTTTGTGTGTCCCTGATAATCCTGTTACATAACAGTTACTCCCCAAGCCTGGTTATCTTTATATTAGGTGTACTTTAGTTTCCAAGATCGGCCATGGTCTTTCATATACAGTAGGTTTACATGTTTACCAGAAACTCTATTCCAAAGGAAACATTGTATATTTTTGTAAAATTTGTTGACTGGATTTTATACCTTTTACCAAGTTTGACAGTTTACAAAAGTCTAAGTAAATAGTGTAAGTTCTGCTCTTGGGTGGCGAGCATCAGTGAAAATACTTTTTTTCTCTCTCCTGTTTGAGCTTGTCGTCTATTGTGCACTCTCAAGTCTTTGTTCCACATCATTCTCCCTCCCTGATGGGGGTCTAATTATTTTATTTTTGTACCAGAGAGGGTGAGAGAGGTGATGGCTGGTAAACACAGACCCAAGCAGAGTCCAAATTAGGGCAGCAAACAGACGCTGCCAAAACCGAGGCCAATGGCTTCTTCATGTCAGCTTGTATAAAGCTCTGCTTCACTGCTCTTTGAAACATCTCTCTGAACTCTATTATGATGGCCGACAGGTGCAAACGCGCTACAACGGCCCAAACCTCTTACATTACGATAAACAAGCTGCACTTTCAAAAGTTATGCAAATATAAAAGCATACATTTGTAAAAACACATGCAAATGAGGAAACATCTTCACCAAGTTGTTAACAGATGTAATACGCAGAGTTTACTAAAAGTGCTGCATCCATGAAACGATGAGTTACGTATTGTAACCCTAGTTATATAAGCACAGGCGGAGCCCTCTACTGGACTCTATGGGTAATGCCCTTGACCTTACTATGCGAGTGTTCACCTACTGAGATATTTATAAACGTAGCCGGCCCCTCGGGGCGGGCCTACCTGAATGCGCGCGCAGGCCCACAGTATATAAGGCGGCCTCGCCTCCCGACCGTCATCCTACACCCTCTTCAGCGAGCGGCATAGGACAGACAGGGCCCCGAGTAGAGGGCGGAGCCTGTGCTTATATAACTAGGGTTACAATACGTAACCCATCGTTATATCTCACAGGCTCAGCCCTCTACTGGACTCTATGGGTACAGTGGGTGGAGCCCTGATGGATATACTCCCTGTCGTTCAACAACCCATCACACAGCCCCTGACCGGCTTTCTGGTTAGCAGCCACTGCACCGCAACCTCTCCTCCCTCAGCCATGACCGTGGAGGAGCCGGGGCCGCAGTTTACTTGGCTGATAGAGCACACTCAGACACGCTTACCTCGCAAAGGGTGTGCATGGAAAAAACAGTGAGGAAGGCTCCCCCTGCCAGGCTGTCTCAGGCTGTCCCTCTCAGGAGCCAAGCCTGGAGAGGTTGGCCCAGATAGGGTAACGCCCCTATAGAACCTGCTCCCTGAGACATCACCCCCAAGACCTGAGGAACTGCCCAGGGCTGGCCCACCATCATCTGTGTCACCTCCGCGAACCACGGCGGTCTGGGGCCACTAGGATGACCGACAGATGTTCTCGTCTCACCCTCTCCAGGAGGAGATGTGTCTCCAACTACGGCGACACATAGTAGGCCTGAAAGTGCTCCATGCGGTGCCGGCGGCTAAGTTGTGGTAGCATCCGGCAGGCATTACAGGAGGGAGACTGCAAGCCGTCCCCGGCGTGTTCAGGCCCCAAAAAAAACAAAACCCTGCAAGAAGCTCAGAACACAACGCCACTAAAAGTGACGTCTGTATCATATTAAGTATTAAAACAGTATATTTGAAATGCTACGTTAGCTAGCTAGCTTACTGCAGATCTGCAATCAAATCAGAAGGAAACGGGTACATTGTTAAAATTATATTTTCATTTTAGGTAACATTTTATGTTATCCAGTGACAGTGGGCCAATTTTATAATCCCTGAACATCAACAAGGACTCTGTGTTTCCGTTGTTTTGAGATTTTTGCAGCACTTTATATTAACCTTGCGCATGTTTTATCATGTCGGTGAAGATGTTTCTTCATTTGCATGTGTTTGGGTTTTTATATATTAGTTCTCTATCTGTGTTTTTTATTTTTGTTTTACTTTTATGTATGCACCATGACATCAAGTCAAATTCCTCGTACGTGTCAACCTACCTGGTGATAAACCTGATTCTTATTTGCATCGTATTTGAAACTGCACCATGTTTCTCCTAATGCTAGTGTTTTTAGCGTTTTTTCCCGTCGGCCACCGTAGTCCATGAAAAACAATCGTTCGTAGATGAAATGAAATAAATGAGCTGCGAAACATTTAATAATATTAATTGGAGATTTATTCAGGTCATAATTACACATTGTCTGAATTAAATATTGCCCCTAACATTTTGCACAAACAACTGGCACGGCAGTGCAAAACAATACAGCAGGTGGACAGATAAACGTGCTTTGATACAGATCATTTTCATCTTGTATGTGTACCACGGACCAATGAGAACACAGGCGCAGATATGATGCTTTATGAGTACCATCAGACAATCCAAAAAAGAAGCTTGGAATATTAACAAATGTTCATATAAAAAAAGTCTTTGTAAATAAAGCACAGCCTTTGGAAAAACATTACAGTGCATAAACTACATGCAGTCAACAAAAGGGCTAAACTCTGTATGTAGTAGTCTACCACGGTTTGAAAGTACATGATCTCAGTGCTGTGACATGCCACATATCGGAAAGGGTAGCAACATATTGTCAGTTTGGTCAGATTACAATGGAAAAACGACACAAAAAATACTAAAATGAAGACATTTTATCCTGCATTGTAGTAGAAATTCCATTTTCTTCAGCAAAGACATGGGACAAGCCTCGCTGATTAAAACTTTAAAACAAAATGTTATATAACACCATGCCATCCTTTTCTAAATATTGCTAGTGGATGGATGTGCTGATACTAACGTTTTGACATGTTAAGTACATCATTACATTTCAAGTACATAAGCAGAATGTGTCCTTTACTATCCTGTCAAGTGATGTATTGCTACTGTATGTGCAAGTGAAGTTAAAAAAAAAAAAATCAAACATGAGAGTAGATCACAGTCGTCATAAACCGCTTTATAAAAACTCTTCAACTAAATACGTTGTGGCAATTATCTAACGTTTGGTGCTGTCCTTCAGCTTCAAGACAATATTTTCTCAATGGTTAAAAAAAATTATCTTGCACAACCTCAGGATGTAGAAGTGATTTCTCAGTCAGAGGAGTGCTGTGAGACTTTGAAATCATTATGCGAGATTTCTGCAAGATATGCAACTTAAAAAAAAATCTGGACTGTATTGCAAACAAGTCTCTCGCTGTGTCTCTCACACTCAGTTCCAAGTCAGCCAGTTCTTAGAGTTTGAGCCTAAAAAAGACTTCACTGCTCTCTGGGGGGGACTGGGGCTGTCTAGGGGACGGGGTTCTGAGGGGGGCGAGCTGACTCAGCAGGTCCAGGCTGGTGCAGGGACTTTGGGCCACGCAACACGCGCCTTCAGGGTTCCCCCGCTCCTCGATGGGGTTTGTGAGACTTCCACAGCCCAGGTTGAAGCTGGCACTCCTGCCCTGGGCCAGGCCCTGGAGCCTCTGCCGCTCCTGGGCCTTCTTGGCCCTGTTTGCGATATAGCGCACCCTGCTTTGGCTTCTGGAGGAGGTCCTTCTCATCAAGGTCTCATCCACAAAGTCCTCCTGTGACTCTCTGGGTCTGGTTTCTGGGGCAAAGTCGCTAGCGGTCAGGGGCTCCACATCCGTCAGCTTCCGGAGCTGCTCTGTGAGGTCGCTGGTGGGCCGGGACTTCTGCGGACTCCCCCTGCGGAACTGGTCTCTGAGGGGCCTGACGATGAAGCTACGGCTGATACTGCGGTACTTACTGTCAAAGTTACAGGAAATGTCATCGGAGGTCAGATCCCCGAGGCTTTTGGACATGGAAGCTGTAGCTATGGGGGTTTTAGCCGGAGGGGACGGCCTGCTGGGGGATGACTGCTTGAGCCCCTCCATGTAGAGCCGGCTCCAGGTGTGCCTCCTCTGGGTCAGTCTGTTCAGAGAGTCCACAGAAGCCTCCTCGGGGGGCTGAAGGGGGCGGGGCTTAAGCTCATCTCTCGGGCACTCGCTTTGCTGGAGATTGGGGTTAGACTTGCTCTTGCTGACTTGCGGGGTATCGTAGGAGACCAGCGCTGAGTGGCGGTAGTTGATCCAGTTTGGGTCAGAGGGGCTGCTGGCTGTGGGGGGGGCTGCTGAGGTTCTTCCTGGCCAGGTTAGGCAGGGACAGGTCGATGACGGTGTCGCTGGAGGAGATGCTGGAGGAGGAGGACATGCTGTCTCGGTGACTAGCCGGGTCCAACTTGCTCCACAGGCGGTCGTTCATGGTGGCGTCGGTGCAGACCTGCGGTACTACCGACTGCCCCGTGGAGGCTACACCCACCAGGACATGGCCCTCACGTTTGGTTCTTCTTACCGGAGAGTGGGATGGCATGGAGCTAAAGAGGGCTCTCCTGGCTGGGGCTTTCTCAGGCGCAGGGGCGGCGGGGGGTCGTGGAGGTTCTGTTACAGCGGCGGCCTTCACCCTGTGGTCAGACTTCACCTCCGCTGCTTCACGGTTCTTTTCTGTCAGGTTTTCTTTCTGGTTTGGTGAGCGCTCCATGAGAGAATCAGCGCCTCTGTTGTTCGGGACAACTTGTGATGGTTCAGTCTTCTCAGGAGTCAGAGGGAGCAACGTGGTTCTGGAATTGGTAGTTGGTTTCTTAGGGTCTCCGCTCACCCTGGTAGGAGAGTATACCGCACCGTTAGAAGGAGCGGCCAATAGGTGGTCTGCGTTTATTGCTGTGGATTGCAGTGGAGAGGATGAGGAGTGATGTGAAGACAGGCTGTCTTCTGGAGTGGAGACAGAATGGATGACTCGAGTGGTTCTGGCTGCGTCAGAGTGTAGTGAAAGAGGAGCTGGTTTCTGCACTGTGGAACAATCTGAGGAGAGAGAGCACAAAGAACTATATTACTGTCTGCAGGGGTGGAACAAGTGCTAATCTCTTACTTAGGTAAAGCAGCAACACTAAATATAAATAAATAGTAAGCGTCTTGCATTCAAAATCGTACTTAAGTTCAATTGGCATAAACCCATTTCAGATATGTTAACCTATAATTATATGTTCATGATTTTAAATGATATTTTGTTAAGTAACTAAAGCTGTTACATGTAGTGAAGTAAAAAGTACAATATTTATATATAGGGTCATTTACATGCAGAAAAAGCTACATAACACACTACAGGAAAGGGAAACAAAGCCTAATAGGGCCCCTTTAAATGTTACACATAATTAGAGCTTTAATACAAAATCCAGACCATCAGGAAGTAGGTTTGTAAACTTTGATAGATGGTTCTTTTTGTCTCTCTTTTCTCATGTGTTTCTTAACTAATCAATCTAAATGTATTTTGTTTTTGACCATGTTCCTGGATCTCACCATTTAACAGAAAAACACAAAACAGTGTACAGGCCACGACACAGACAAGTGATTCTAGTGATTCTGTGCACGACACAAAGCTTCATGAATAATGTTTTCCCCTCCCCACAGTGAGTGTCCCAGCACCGTTATACAAGTATGTAAACACACACAGCTGGCTTTTGGTGAAAATTCAACAATGTGTGAAAATGTAGAATCATTTGAAATCCTTGTCACCCCCCACAGGTGTGACACATGGGAAATGAAGCATTTAGGTGAGAAAGAGATGGGGAAGTGAAGGTGAAGGTAGCATGCGTTCAGCGGTTTACCTGGCTCTGGTCATCCCTTCAATTCTGCACTAGTGACAGAGAGAGCGTGCAAACGGGACAGAGAGGAAAAAGGATTTTAGCAAAACTGGAAAAAACAGGGAGAATGGAGGCAAGGACAGAGAAGCATCTGAACAAGAGACGTTATCACATATTGATCTGCAAATCAACACCAGAACAAACATCACAGCTTTGTTCTACAGTGAAGATAAAGTAGAGGTTCATCATGACGTGTTGACTATCTGCCTGCATTATATTATAAACAGATGTCAGAACACATGATCTATTGAAAGAGGCCAGAACAATTCCAAAGATACTTGTTTTTCGCCACTAGATTCATCACAAGATAAACCGAGAGACGCTGGTGGGGGGGGGTTTGGATGGAGCAGCAGGAAGTGGACTCTCCTGAAATATGTCATGTGAGGGAGGAAGAGGAGTTTCCCCTGGACACAGCACAGGTGTCAGGGTCTTGTGACTTCCATCTGTTTAAACTGCTCTTAAATGAACACAACAACCATTAATCATCACTAAGCTGTGAACAATGTCTTACAATACATGAACAGCTGCAGTGAACATACAAAGAATACACACTGAAAGTGTATTCCAAAGTTAACATGGATATCGATTTGTGGGTGTGTACTATCTGATGGAATAACATCATCTAGGGTTACCCATTCATTTCCTATGGCGGTCATATTTGACCGGGAACACCATAGGTGGGACAAAGTTGACTAAACCACTCAAAATTAAATCAAAGTGGTGGACAGCAGTTTGAAATGTTCAAAGTCCTACTGTGGAGGATATCAGAAGGCTTTGAAGCAATCAAATGTTAACACAATATTTATGATTGATGAAAGTAGTACATCTGTCAGATTTGAGCCAAACACGACAGGAGTGTTAAAGATGGAGTCGCTGTATAGTTAAGTGGTTAGAGAAGGCGGCTCATGTTCTGGTAGTAAGTCCCTGCTGCGGTGGACGCAGGTTTGAATCTGGACTGCGACGTCATCCCCTCTATCTCACACTTTTGATGTTGTCACTCTCCAATGAAGGCTAATCCGGCCCAAAAAAACTAAAAACAAAACCCTATTCTTTATGGGAGGCTGGGTTCAATAAGGTCGTCCGCCAATCCAAAGGTTGTTGTTTTGATCCATAGAAGTCAACATGTCGTGTCCTTGGGGAAGATACTTTACCCCAAGTTGCTCCCGATGGCCATCAGTGTGTGAGTGTGTGTCGATGTGTGTGTTAGTGTCCTGAGCAGGTGCACAGTCTATGGCAGCCTCTGAATGCTGACCTGTACATGAATAAGCACTTTGAAGGGTTGCTAAGACTGGAGGAAATCACTTTATAAATGCAGACCACTTGCCATTTAGTTAGAGGCTGTCGTTTATAAGACTGCATTATCTTGAAAGCTATGAATTGAAATTCTTCATATAGAGATTAAATATCAGAAGTGATTTTCAGAACAGTGCAGCACAGCCCGATAATGCAGTGTAAACTGTTCTTTTACAATTAATACTTTTAAAGAGAATTAGATTCTGTGTCGAACATTATGATTAAAATGGAAATAGAAAATAAGACTTCATTTATCGAATTTGTTATATGTAAGTTATGAGAAGTCTATAGAGTACCTTGGTGACTAGCATATGGTTCAGCAGACAGTACACCAAACACTGTCAAAGTTATTCTATGTTAGATACATATAATTGCATATTTTTCCTTGCACTGTTTTTATTGTTTTATGTCTTAAATATATCTTTTTGTTGCATTATTTTAGGGACTTTGGACTTTTGGATTGTATGTGCTGTATTTAGTTTTGAGCTGCCCAGGGCCTGATGTTTAGCAAACCGCTATAATCTGGTACAAAATATTTGATCTCTTTGAGATTTATGTTCATGGTCCCCGACAACTAAACCAATAAACTGAACTAAACTACTTCTATTCATTTTAGGTTCAAAACTTACCACTTCTCTCATCTGTCATGCATGGGCAGTGTCAGATACAGTCGTTTAGGATATAGAGAAAGCATTTAGTAACATTTCTAGAATCAATTCTTTGAAATCGTTTTAAGGCTTAGGTGAAAATAATAGCTAGAACTGAACTCTATTTGGGAAAGAAACACATGGGAGATCAGATCGGTCCTTACGCTCTCAGGGACACGTGGGGATAACAAGGTGTACATTTAACGTAGAGGGATGATTCTGACAGCATTATGCTACCAAACCTTCAGGGTATTGGGATGTATGGCAGCTAACTGAGGTCTACGGGAGACAACAGGTCCTCTACAGCCACGACTCGGCGTCTACTGGGTTTCTGCTAACGCTGCTAACGTATATCTTACCAGCGAAGAACATGGGAGTCTTATGGCGTAACTCTTCCATTTTCTGGGCGAACAGCGCGTTCATCTCGCGCTGCAGGGTGCCTACGGCCCTCTTGCGGCTGTCGAGGACAGAGCAGGGGGGCAGCATGAGGGGGGACTCCAAGCTGCTCAGACTGCTAAAGCTCCCGCAGCTACTACAGTCGCTGAGTGACAGACCTTCGTGCTGGTTAGCGAAAGGCGCTAACATTGAGGTGCTAACGGCGCCGTAGTTGGGGGGCGTGGCCTGCTGCAAACAGAGGTTGGTCCTGCAGTCTGGTGTGGCGGGGCTTGGGGGGCTCCTCCGGGGGACACTGTAGGACCGGGGGCTCCTCTGCGGGGCGGCAGGCTGACGGCGGATGTGCTCAGCACCCAGAGTCTGCCTGAGTTTGGATCTAGGGAATGGAATAGGTCGGGGGAGAGACTTGGGCGAGTTCTGAAACTGGGCCTCTGTGTTTGCCCTGGGGAGGGAGGGGGTCTGCTGGGGCTCTGAGTGGGTAGCGGGGGGCTGGGACATGGTTACAGGATCTGTCTGTCTCTTGATTGAGGAAGTGAGGCTCTCCTGTCTCTCCCTATCTTCCTGCTTGGATCCCTGCCTGTCATTCACCTTCCTCTCAGCCTCCGGACTCTCCTTGGAGCTGACCACACAGGTGATGCAGTTGGAGGAGATCCCCACCCTGCCTGTGCTATTCAGAGCCACGCGGGCAAACACCCCCTGCTTCATGTCCAGAGGGTCATTAACGTGAGGCCGACTGGCCCGCTTCAGAGGCTCCGTCATGGCTGTTCGCCGAGCAGAAACATGGCTCTTACCTTTACCCTTTTCGGGGTGGAAAGCCCCGTTGGTGTCAGGACGCTCCCAGGGGCCCTTGGCTGGGTGGGATGCCAGAGATTCCCTGTTCTGTGGGGGTGTGGGCTGGTGAGAGGCGCCGGCAGAGGCCTTGTCCCTGTCCTCAGACTCCCGGTCTTCACTAGCACCCTCTGAGCTGTAGTCTTTGGTGTCGATGGCGATCTCCGGGAAGCCCTTCTTGACTTTGGGCTGGCCTTTGGTGGGTGCGCTGGCAGTGCGGCGCAGGAGGTGGGCCCCGAACGGGTGCTTACGGCTGTGCTGAGCAGCAGCATGGCTGTCCAGGGAAGCCTGCTTTGGGTTTCTGTGAAACAGTCCTTTTATACCGGTGGCTGCTCTGGCCTGGCAAAAACAAAAAACACATCATCATCGTCAGAAACACAATGGATCTTAATCAAACAAAAGGATTAAGGCAAAGGTCATACAGGGACAATGTTTGCCATAATTCATGTGGCACTAGCCCACTGTATTATGCAATGATACATTTAAAAGTTATTGTAAATTAAGCATGCTTAAAAACATTAATATCCATTTACAGAATGATTCATCATTGTGTTTTACATGATCATCCAGCAGTCATTTGACAACGTACACATCTGAATACAGCAGCTGTTATCCCAGTAGTTAATAGTTAATCAGTCAAACACATGCTTGAAGCTACGTGTTAATGTTTAACACGAAGAGCAGCCCAGACTGCCAACAGCTGCTGTGTGTACACTTACAAAATAAATCACATTTTGATACTTTCCAGTTGTTCAAACTTACACCATCAGAATAATGAAGATCCTTATCACATAGAATATTTGAATTTCAAAAAATGGTGGCTTTAAGATGATGGGAAAAATACAGATAAGATTTATCTTTTGTAAAAATCAATATAAAAAGAGGTTACTGAAAACGTATCAGCAGAATAACAGTGTGGTTATTTGCTGTGTCTTCAGCTGCTGCATGGTGAGGTGGGACGTCACAAACACAGGGCACGAGGGATGACAGTGATAAGGACACTCAGACAATGACATCAGTGACTGTGAAATCAAATGTCATTTGGACGAGTTTAAAGAAATGCAAAATGGAGCTTCCGTAGTTACCAAAATCTATTGCCATGACTTGTCATTAAGCGTTTTAAACAATGTGAAAGTAGTAGATCCAAAGAGTCTGACAGTTGACCACTGTGGTGAAATGCTAACTGGACAACTTTTAACAGCAAAGCAACAATAAGACAATAGCAGAAAGAAAATAAGTATTGTGGGAAAACATTTGAAGTGAAGGCTGAAGTGAACATGAGAGCCACATTCCAGACCGATCCCTACAAACTCCCATCTGTAGTCTGACTCAGCTGAATGAGGCTCCTTCTTTCAGGTGGGGGGTGTAAATACAGCAGCAAACTTTGGGACGAACTCACCTCTCTCCGGCAGAAACAGGAACTGCCTAACTTTTTCTAACCATGGTTTCGAATCAGCATTTCTTTAGTGGCGATTCTTTTTAACTTTCAAAGCACTTCCAACGCTTTACCCAGTTCTCTTTATACATCCATGGTTAAGTCAGGACCTACGCAGACTTCCTGTTTGAGATAATACACTTGTCTTAGCCAAAGATCAATAAGCTCAATGTTATTGCTCTACCTTAGTTCATCTAGTAGCTTACTGAGATAAGTCCAAACATGTTTTGCCTAATTTACTGTAAGGCTAAAATCTGCATTTTCAGAGCATATATCATCCGATGATTTTAAGACTGACTGACAGGTGTTTATATGATGAGCCACGCTGCTTTAGAAACAAGGAGAAAAACCAGACATGATGCTTTCTTCATTTCCTTACAAACATCAATCATCCAACCGGTATAATGGGGGTGTAGCTGAAAACCAAGCATCAACCAGCAGTAGAATGCTTTGAAAACAAGAATTTGATTGCATAAAAAACTGCAAATATTACACAACACTGCAATAATTTAATATAAATAAATACCAAAGAACTGGGCTGCAGCTTGAATACAAATATAATCTGAATAGGCCGTGTCAAGAAAACAAAGTGACCGACTTATGCCTGGCTCTTTAAAGTCGTTTTTTAGGGGAGAAAAACCCTACAAAATGATGAAGAAAAACAAGGTCAGAGCAAACAAGAGAGGACTGAATGTCCTCAAAGGCACTGGAACTGAATACCCCTGCAGTGCAGCGCGCTGAAAAACTCCTGAGCACACAGGAAAAAAGCCAGAAACAACAGAGTAACAAAGTCCTCCAATCTGGAAGACGTCCTGACACACACCGCTCTCTCGTCTATCCAACAATTGACTTTGGATCTACTTGGAAGGGGGGGTGTCAATGGAGAAGCAGGCAGGTCAAGCCTTCATAACTCATGTGAGGCATGAGTTGGCCACGTACTACAGTACACGTACTGGCAGCCAACTTGCAGTTGGAGGGGGCTGTGTGTGTGTGTGTGTGTGTGTGTGTGTGTGTGTGTGTGTGTGTGTGTGTGTGTGTTGTTGTGGTGGTGGTAGGGGGGGGGGGCAGGTGGCTCATGCAAGATGCCGACTGGGTCTCACTACACCTGAGTTTTGAGGGGCAGCTTCAGGGCTCCTAAATATTTCCTGCCTCTAAATGGAGCGTTTGGAAAAAGAGGGGTCCACTGAAAGCACAAACAGACACAGGAAGAGAGCGAAAATCAGAGGGGAGGATGAAAGAGAGAAAAGATTGGGTTGGGTGGGGGGGTCAAGAGAGAAATCACAACAGTAAGCACAGGGCAACTGCTGAGAAAGAGGAAGTTCAGAGTAAGGACAATATGAACAGCAGAGCGGTCATTTACAACATGGCAGCTGAGTGATTTTAAAATGAAGGGTCTAACTGAAATAAGAGCAATAATAGACACTCAATATGTCTGCCAGCGGACCAACCCCATTTCACTGAGAAGGTGACTCAGCTAAAATGTATGCATTGTCATATTAACAATGGACAGGGACAACATACAAAGTTGTAGAAATCTCAAAAAATGCTTTGTATGCTGATGATGTTAATATATGTGTAACCCTGCTGTATCAGTTCACCACCTCACACAAATATCACTCCAATTGAGTGGTGCAGTAACGACTGATTTTTGTAGGCCGACATGGAAGTTAGCATTGCTAGGGCTCCTTGCAATCTCTAGAAGTAAAATGCTAATGCTAAGCTAAAGGTGGCTAATGTTATACGTGATGACATATAGTAGTTTAATTAGAAACTTAGCAACCACTGTTTTAAGACTTGAACATATCTTAGGCTTGTGTTAACCACATAACTTATTTCTGGCTTCTAACCAATAAACACGTTGACAACGAGACGAGGGACTTTTGATTCATTGAGGAAGGGGGCCTTGTGATCAGATACATCCACGAAAGATCCAATATCCATGAACAACCTTATTCATTAAAATATTAAAATACTGTTAATTTACAGGGTAGGAGAAACATCTGTGCCTTTTAGAAAATATTTGAGGGTCTAATCTGCTGTTGGGTTTCTGAAGCTTGAAATGACCTTTTAGAGAAGGATGTTTGTAGAGAATAAGAGTGATAGAGAAACACAAAGACAAGAAAAGACAGAGTGAAGCTAAATAAACTTGATCTATAATGTATAATTATCTATAATTCTCTTTGATCTTTCTACTAACCAACATCAGGGCTGGGAGAGTTACTTTAAAACTGTATTCTGTTACAATTACTAGTTACATGTCAAATGTAATCAGTTACATTATCCAATTATTGTAATATAAAAGTAGTAACCTGATTACTTTCTGTTACTTTTGGATGACCTTATATCAAATGCAATGCCAAGGAGAAAATAAGATGTTCTTTACTTAAGTGTATTATAAAGACAACAGAGCAATGTGACCTTAGAAAAGAGGAAGCCAAGATATTTAGAATGAAAAATGTGTCATCTTCAGTTAGGCTAGGCCTACAGAATAGTTTATTTTAATAATGTCCATCTGAAAGTAGCCTAAATGAAAACCACAAAGACAATGCAGGCAGTACGTCTAATATAATATATCGATCTTTATTATAAAAAATCTATTGTAACATTGTAATCCTGGTAGTAATTTAAAAAAAAAAATGTAACAGAGATCTGATCACTTTTTTTAATATAACTGTAAGGGAATACAGTAAACTTTTTTTTGTATCCTGAACATGTCATTCTGTTACATGTTATCTGTCACTACCCAAGCCTTTGCAATATACTAATGTATGACACAAAATGTGATGATAACGGACCTCCTGACTTGTGTATGACATGTTAAGTCAATTATATAAATGTATCTATTTCGCTTTTTAACGAGAGCTCCTGAATGAAGTACATGAGATGCTAAGGGCAGACTTTGGTGCTTTTCGTTATGACACTGTGATAACAGACTCCATATGATGTTTGACAGATGTGCATGGAGAGAACTATGTAGGCTTTTTTTGCTGAGCTGTTGCATTTTAAATAGTGATCATTTATTTAGTACATTTGTTAAAAATAAAACTCAATAAACACATTCAATTAAAAATAAAACAAGTTTAAGTTCCTTATCAAATCCGTTTTGTTAATAAAAATGATTGGCCGATATATCGTTGGATATTCATAACTGTGTATTAAATCCAGAATAAGTTTTATAATAAAAAAAAAGTCCTACTTTACAATAATTCATATACTTCAATAACATTTTTTTGATGAATTTCTCACAAATGTTCAGCTCCCTCCTACAGTTGTACCTACCTTACCAGTGATGTCATTCACAGCTACGTGAACAAAGATGGAAGCCTCCTCCATACCTTCCAAGTACACATGGCGATAACCTGCACATACCAACACACACACCAGGGTTAGGAGTCAAACACAACAGGGCAGATAGGAACCGCTGAAGATAAAAACATGTTATATCAATCAGCAGTGAAAATACACATATTTTTTAATAAAAAGTATTTAGATAGTCCGTAACGTAGCATTGTTATAGAACAGATCAGAAAAAACAAATCACTAGATAACAGGTCATTTTAAAACTGAAAGGTATTGTGTTCCAAAAGGCTTGGTACTGAGCCCACCGGTGGATAAGGCATTACGCAGATGACCCTCACCATTTAGTTTCCATTCATTCTAATTATTTAGTCCTCTCTCCTTACTGTATGAATATAAATAAAGAAAAATGTTAATGCTAATTTCTTAGTTATACATAAACATGACTCAATTTATTTCAAAGAAAAGCACTCAATTGGTGTTTTTTCATTTTATTGAGCTATTTCACTTGAATTGTATTTGATCAGTATGGGATACTGCGAGACCAGTCAATGAGACAGATGCTCTTCACCAAGGAGTATATACTGAAAAAACATATATAAGAAATATGTTATAGTGTATTTCATATTTAATTACTAGATTTTTTATTTGGTGGATGCAGTGTGAACATTAACAACACTAAAATCTAGTTTCAGGGAAGATGGAACCCTTAAAGGGGACCTATCATGCAAAATGCACTTTTGTACGTCTTTTATACATGAATATGTGTCCCCGGTGTTCCAGGGAACTCACCAAGTGTCAGAAAACACAACCCTCTCTATTTTCCTCCATACCCAAATCTCTAAAAAAGGGGCTGCAACGGATCTGATAAAAACTGATCCAGATTTGAACACGTTACTGACGTCAGTAAAGTGGCGCTACGGCTATTGGGCCAACTCTCCACCTATCAGGGGAATGTGGGGTTGGGCCACGGCCGGCCATTGCCGCTCGAAAGCGCTGGAGACGCTGTAGTACATATGCCAGGCCTGTAAGTGGCGCTGTAGTCTGCCACAAAAGCAGCTAAGAAGACTTCCCGCGCATGGTTACCCTTCTGTTTATTCTCCACTGTGTCTTTTTTTCTCCCTCCCCGAGGCAAGCGTTTGCTCCCGCTGCTTTAATTCAATGCAATCCCTCCCCGTCGAGGCAAGCACTGTAATTCTCTCTGGTTAGTCCACCAGCAGATGACAAACACCCACCTCTCCGCCTCTTCCAAGGAACGAGGGGACCGTGCGGCAGAGTTTCAGTTAGGTTTTTTTTCGCCGGTCAAGATGTCCGTTAAAGTTTAAATCTTCCGGACAAAATTAGAAAAGTGCCGGTCAAAGGTCTTCTTTGTTATTTATTGAGCTTTAAAACAAATGAATAACGACTCTATATAATAATATAATAAAACACGGAGGACGGAGATCCCCCCCCTGTTCTGACAGCCCAGCAGCTGTTCAGAGCACGCTCCCCTCTCCTGCAGGGGGGCGTGGTCAGCTGCAGCTCACAGAATCAGCCCCCTGCAAAAACAGGGCTGGAAAAAGAGCACATGGAGCGAAATGAGGCATGGCTAAAATGCAGGATCTGTTTGGTATTTTGAAAAAAATACTATATTTATATACTTTATATAGGTATGGCCCTAAAATATATTGTTCAAATATAGCATGATAGGTCCACTTTAAGCATGTCTTAATATATTCAATGTTGTCGTTTTTTTAAACCTTTGGACAAAGCCAGGCCAGCTTTGTTACTTTGCCTCATGCTAAGCTAACCATGTCCCTGCTCCAGGTTTTGACTAAACTGATTCCTCTTCTCATCAAACTCTGAAGGATTTCCCAAAACTATTCCGTTTATAAACTCGTCCTATTGTAACATCGATTAAACATACATGTATGGGATCAAGCAGCATCTTTAAATCCTAATAAAGTATGGCAACAGTGCTCTCGGCATGACTTTAAATGCACCTCCACCATAGCCTATTCATTCTCTGACTCAGAGCAAAAACACCATTTCTATGTCTAGAACATGAGAAACAAAATGCATTAAGAAGGTTTTTGTAGGTGACCACAAACTGTTGGAGGGGCAGGTGAGGTGGGGGTGCCTCTCAGCTCCCTCTTACCTGGAATCATGCTGTTGAAGGCGATGGTGCGCTGGCCGATGAAGTCCTGGCCGATGGGGTCATGATCCCACACGAGGAAACGCACCAGGGCGAGCTCCGGCATATGGACGGTGAACACGATCGTCTCCTCCCACATCGGGTTGAAGCCTGAGGGACCGGTCCCGAGAGAGACAGGGGGGGTGGAGGAGGGGAGGGGAGAGAGGGGAAGGGGAATCGCAGGAGAATAATCAAGACGGATATTCAAAGAGCGTGAAGAGAAGAGAAGTCAGTAGATAAAACAGAGAGGGAGTGAAAGAGAAAAAGAGGACAAAGAGAGTGGACAGTCCAGTAGAGTCAGCAAACTCTGCTCTCATCAATTATTCAGGGTGTGTGTGTGTGTGTGTGTGTGTGAGTGTGTGAGGAGACTGATAGGTGCTGCCTGGGCACCTCTTCTCGTGCTGAGCTCAACACACACACACACACACACACACACACACACACACACACACACACACACACACACACACACACACACACACACACACACACACACACACACACACACACACACACACACACACACACACACACACACACACACACACACACACACACACACACACACACACACACACACACACACACACACACACACACACACACACACACACACACACACACACACACACACACACACACACACACACACACACACACACACACACACACACACACACACACACACACACACACACACACACACACACACACACACACACACACACCGGGCAAACACTAGTGCTTGAATGAATTTGCGTATAGAACGTACTCTTTCTATTTTGACAGCATAAGTTTATTTATTTATTTAAGTTGATATATACAGTCTATGGTTCACACTGACTCCAGTAGGGCAGTGTGCACTATGAGTACGTGGATAGTGTACTAACCATTTATTTACCATTAACCATATTTTATTGACTGAAGACATTATTCACAGTGTTATCTGGTACACACTGCTCCTTCAGTATGTAGTTGTTATTCATGGTTACTTTTATGTGTTCACTAGGTAGTAGGGATGGGAACGATTTATCGAATATTCAAAATTATTCAGGTATTCGAATATGAGAATATGAGTTATGAATATTTATATTGTGATCTTTTTTTTTTTTGTTTTGTTTTTTGGGAGGGGTGCCTAAGTTGATTACATATTATCAAATGGAATAATTCAATGTATACGACAGTGCCATAGCTAAGTGCGTTAGGTCTAAAGGTGTGTTTTGCTCCGCTCACCGGTCCCTCACAGCGGGCAGAGCTGCAGGTGCTGATCTCTCTCTCTCGCGTCCGGTTATACTTCACTCGCGTTTATGTCCAAATCCATCAGATCTAGCTAGTTCTAGCTAATGATATGTCTGCTGCCCCTCCCTACACACAGATCACGCAGACTCAAACCTCATCTCATGCCCAAATTCCAGCTGAGAGGGTCTTCTCTACAGCTGGCCTGATTGTGAATCGCCTCCGCACCCGCCTCTCCCCTGAGCATGTAGACATGCTCATATTCTTAAACAAGAATGAGTATTGAATAGCTGCATTCTGTGCATAGGCCCCACATTTTTTTTTTTTTTTTTTTATAGGATATGTACATTTCGGTTAATCGGTTAACCGTTTTTTTGGGGGGGTCGAATATTCGATTATAAATTTGCTTTCAAATTCCCATCCCTACTAGGTAGTAGTTATAAAGAGGAGTGTGTGGTAAGACGTGTGTTCCTTTATGAAGAACTTGATATTGATGTGATTGTGTGTTTGAAGCATCAGGATCACTGTAACCAGAATTGATAATGAACTAGATTTAATTGGTGGTTTGAGTTGGATTCAATTTGTTTAAATGATGGTACAGAAACAGATGATTTCTGATCCACTTGAGTGTAATCACTCTTGGATGCAGCCCCTCACATCTCTGAATGCTAATGAATGACTCTACACCTTCTCAACACGATATTATATGTGTGTTTGCAATGCTAACCTCCGGGTCGGCCTATAACTATTCTTCCCTGCAACTCTGCATTATTACCAAGTCACTATTTCTCCACCAAAACAGGCCTTTTTATGGCAACAGGCCGACTTCTCTGCAGAATATGAAGGCAGGAGATCCTGAGTGATTCCCCCCCCCCCACTCACCGTTATCATCCACCACTCTGGTCTGCTCCTTGCAGCAGTCCACCGGCAGGCCGATGATCTCCACCTCCACGAAGGGATCAATGATCTGACAGACGGACGTTACAGTGTTCAGTTACTGCTTCACCAACCATGTGATTCGATGTAAAGACTTTTCAATGATCCCACTCCACTTCTTTTTGGTGAGGTTGAAAACTACCACTCAGTCATGTTGACACTTAGCTATGACACCTAGCTTTGTCTCCATCTTTTGCTGCCAATAAAGAAGCATCTCACCGGGTCAAACTTGGCAATTTGATTCATATGCATTGAGTGTTATTGCTTTAACATAACTATGTTTCTTAGTGTATAAGCAAAATGTATTATAACATGTATTCCGATATATACAGCTCTGGAAAAAATGTCTCTTAAATCTTAATCTCTACATGTATGGCAGCCATTCCATTCCAGTGACTGTTGAATTCCAACACAAAGAAATGTTGTGAGTAGTTTATCAAATATATATTTTTTAAATTTTACTCATACACATACCTATAAATAATAAAACCAGAGAAACTGATCATGCTGCAGTGGTCTCTTAATTTGTTTCAGAGCTGTATTTTGCATATTTAAATAACTTTAAAAAGACCCTGGAGTGGTCCTGTGTGTTACCTCTCCCCGGTCCCCCAGCATAGAGTCTTTGGGTTTGGGCAGCTGCTGTCCGCTGATGATCTTCAGCACCAGCTGCTTCTTCATCTGACCCGGCAGAGGCTCCTCCAGGTTGGGGTTGAAGGTCCCTGTGAGGGGAAGAAACAGAAAAGTACATGTTTGATTTCCTTCACATACAAAGTTCAACTCTAAATTCTGAAATGAACACATTTTCATCCAAAGCTAGTTACATTGCTGATCATTATGATCAGATTTAAAACAGCAAGTCCATCCAGCAAGTTTCATTGGAATATCAAATGTGTAGAGAGTCTTTTAAAAATGACAGCTTAGTTGAATATTCGATGCTGTCACATTCGAACATTCTGTGGTCTGCTCTTTTTCGATAGAAGAGTGCTACTAAGCAGGAACTAAAGTGTGTGCAGTCATATCAATCCGCAGAGTTGGGTCACTTTAATGTCAGCATTGGCAAGGAAAGGTTCAGGAAGATTGAAAATCCTTCCGCTTCGTGTCGGGATCCTGCTCACCCTGTTGGTGTTCTTTTTACATTGATGACCGGCTCGCTACATTATCCCTTACATATAATACAAACCCTGTACCAAAGAACATTTATATAGCAGAGGTTACAAATGACATAAGTTGCAAATAATAAAATGCCCATATGAGAGCATACATTTTGAGACTATCTACTTGTGAAATCAATAATACAACATTACAAATGATGAATAAGCCATCAGTGAAGAGGTTTTTCCCATTTCCATGCACCTCAGACTTAGTGAAATTCCTATTCAAAGACCAAATTAACATCATAGTAAAAGATTCTATAATACTGTTCTTTATACGTTTTCTAATGCCTATACATAACATAACAAGTGGGGCTGCTAAACCTACTTGTTCATGAATGATGTCAGTATTCCTAAGGTCTTAAATAGATCCAAACTGAAATGCTGCTAATGACTTATGTCGCTGCTGACCTTCACACATGCAGGCGGGCTTCAGGATGTAGCCACAGTTCCCGTTGCTGTAGAACTTGGCTCTGTTGAGCTGCAGGACGCGGCCCTCTGATTGGTAGTTGAGAGCGACTGAAATCAAAGCAGTTCAGCTTGTTATTGTCAGCCCTGACATACTGGCAGGACAGAAAATAATGGTGGCAGAGCAGAGATGACGCTCGTACCCAGCTGGCAGCCGGCGCTCCAGAAGGGCTGGGGGTTGAAGTTGGAGGAGTCCACGCGGTACGAGGAGGGGTAGATGCGGGACAGCTGTCTCTGGTTGAAATGGATGAAGGAGGTGGCTTTCTGCTGCATCACCTGGTGGGCTTTGGTCTCACTGAGCGACGACACCTGCCAGCTGCAGGAGGCTGACCACAGAGACATCAAATCAAACTTTACTCATATAGCACTTCTTTTAAATAACACAAGGGCTATACAAAACAAATATAAAAACAATACTACCCCCCCTTCACAGGTTATATATACCGAGTACCACATAACTTTGTAATTGATCAAAACACTTAATACCAACAGAAGTCAATAAACACAGGACTGAATAAAACAATATAATATAAATAAATTAGTAAATGAATGAATGAATAAATTGATAAATAAAGGAATAAAATAAGAATAACATTTGAGTAAATATAATTCAATTAAAAGACTAATTAAAATGATGAATGTTTTTCTATTTATTTTCAACATCCTTTTACATTTTTCTGATAACGGCAATGACAAACTGCAGTCAGTGTTCCCTTAATGTAACTTGAAGGGATTTAAGATACCTTTTTGTATCCTGATTAAGTAATCCCATTACATTTAGTCCGTAACCTCCCTAGCCTGCCAGAAAGTGGTGTTTTATGTCCGCTCCACACTGTTAGCAGTTAGCCTCAGGTTAGCAGAAGCACTCACATTGTGCCTCGATGTCGTAGAGACCCACGGAGCACGTGTACTTCACCAGATCAGACAGAGCCCGGGACAACTTCATGGTCTTCTTCTTTCTGGAAGGTTTAACAAGAAGTCAAAGGTTACAGTAAACACATAAATGTAAAGTAGGGCTGTCACATTCTCAGACTTTCATTACCGCAATATTATAACCGTGTTATCACTATTGTTGTAGTACATTTATCATTAAGTGTCATTTAAGTATATAACTTCCTTCTCTGGTTTGATTTCCCCGCAGTTTGAATTCACATCTAGCTACTTAATGTTCACTTCCTTAGAACAGACAGAAGGCTGTTTCTTCAACCATTGTTACGATTGATATTAGGGTTGTAATTACCATGTATGCAAGTTTCAAACATCTGGCCAACACTTCCTGTAATGTATATTGCCTTGCTGAGACCTTCCCCTTTCTTTGTGTTTTGAGTGTATAAAGTGCTTGTATTTTCTGTTGTACGTGGTCAGATCTTGGTACCATTGCTAGTGCAGGACTGCCCTTTCCAGCTGGAAATAAGATTGATTCTGTTAAATGCTATAACTCTTTATTAAATAACACTACTTTGGTTTAAGCTTGTATATTTCTTCTTTTCTTACCAGAAGGTGATTAAGCGTGACATTTCCACCACAACTATAAATATCACGCTTCTCATGACTATTGGCATCTACAGTATTTAAATTAGTTCAGAATGTGTGTGTGTGTGTGTGTGTGTGTGTGTGGCCTAGCATTACTATACTTGTGGGGACCTAAATCTGTTTACACCGTCACGTGTGGGGACTCGCCTCCCTTATGGGGACAAAATGGAGGTCCCCATGAGGGGAATCATTAATTTTAGGGTGAAGACTTGGTTAGGTTTAGGGTAAGGGTAAGGTTAAGGGTAAGGGTTAGGCATGTGTTGGTTATGGTTAAGATAAGTCTCCAGGAAATGCATGTAAGTCAATGGAATGTCCCCTGAAGTCATGTATACATGGTATGTGTGTGTGTGTGTGTAGCATACTTGTTGTGGTGCAGAGGGGCCCGGGAGGCGCTGCTCGTACTCTCCTGGTCCGTGTCCGTGTCTTCGAAACTCGACGTCTTCTTCAGCTTGGTGACCTTTTTCTGCAAAAGAAGGGGAACAAGTGAGGAGCCAGAGAATACCGGAGACAGTAACAACCTTCATAAGATGATACTTTTATAATAAACAAGTTGATCTGTTTTTCTTGGAACACAAGTCTTTTGGTTATCTCTTGTAGAGGTTCATGAGAACACAAAGACACAAACTAAGGCAATTACTGCCATCTATCATTAATGATCCATTAGTTAGTCAGCCCGACTTCATTTCAGCCCTGCATTTAATAGAACAGATCAGATCAAAGTGTTCTTAGTTTAACTTGCCGATCATTGCCCTTTTTAAATAAATTCAAGCTACAGTGATTAAAGTTGAAACTGGAAGTCCTGTGTTCTCATCACACGTGGGATATTGGAAAACAGTCTTCAAAGAGAGGGAAGTAAAAGCTAACCTTGCGTTTAGAGAAACTCCCCATGAAGGAGCGTCCTGTCCTCTTGTTGCTGCAGGGGTTAGCCTCGTCCCCCGTGTCGGTCCCCTCCTCACTCTTACCCTGACAGCAGAGGAGAGACAGGTTAGGAAACATGCTGGAGATTTGTAAGAGAACTTATTAAAGAAACTGTTACTCTCTGCTAGACATAAGGAACAGTTACACAGAGGAACCTGAACATAAAAAATGATATATGACACAAGGGCTGCTGGGAGTTATTGCTCATTCGTGATGTCTGAAATGTGACAAATAAAACCTGAAACTACCTAAACCTCTGGGAAGAGAACATCTGAATGTGAAAATGAAGCCTTACAGTATATAGACAGGCTTGTGAGAAACAGATTACATGTAAGAGGATTATGTTATCAGGATAAAAAAAGTTAACTGTATTCCCTTCCAGTTACATAAACAAATATGAAATCAGATTACTGTTACATTTCTAATAACTATGGACTTCTAGCAGGATTACAGTGTCACTAAAAACTTAAAAAGATCATAGTGTCTGTTGTAAAGGATCAGATGTTATCTCTTCTCTGTGAGCTGTACTGTGGAATTTTTTTTTAAACAAACGATAAATCTTTGGAACAATTTACCTTGGAACCCGTTTTGTCGGTGGGCTTCCCGGTGGGGGGGAGGGCTGCGATGGTGAAGCTGTCGGGGTCTTCTCTGTCTCGGATCTTGGACTCCTTCATCAGGTTGTCCAGCTTCTTCTTGGCCAGGTTCTCCACCTGCTTCCTGTTGGCTGTAGTCTGCAGGAGGGGGGGGGGGAGCAGTTACACACACTGACCCGGAGTACATCACACAAGGGCTGCTGGGAGTTATGGATCAGTCTGAAATGTCCTCTACAACTCAGGATGCTTTTAGTGGGCAGCTGCATTTATTGAAACGGTCTTATGACGCTGAAATTAGATGATAAGTTAGGACAATTTAAAATGAGTTATGCGAGCAGACTTGAGGGGGGGAGGACACCTCTAACTTTCTTTATCTTTAGTGTCTTTTCTTATTCCTGAGCCCAATTCTGATAATCCTTGAGCCTCAAAGGGCGGAGCAGCGAGCCCCGCAACGTCCCGCCAACACGGCACCCAGACCCCACGCAGCATTCTCATCTGTTTGTCATTACTGGTGTCATTTCCTGGTTGCTAACAAACGCCATTGTAACACATAATCACACATCAGAGCACAGTGGGCTCATAGGGTGGGGGGGGGGGTGGGGGGGGTCAGGAGCTCCAACAAGCCGTGTAGGACAGAGAGTGAATACACATACTATACAGAGATGCTGTATGAGAAACCAATGTGAGTTTGGAACATTGAACAATGTAAATCTATTCTAGTAGACCTCAACAATGGAATTATGGTCAGTAGAACTGGCCATGTCATGGGACCTTTAAAATCCCCAAACTACAGACCACCCTCAGGATGGTGAGTACTGAGCAGTGCTCCCCATCCAGGGCCTGCAGACATCTCTAAATATAAATGTTTGAGATACCAATTCAAAGCATGGGTTTTGTTCCTCCAGGACTTAATGTGATATGTATCTAATCTGTGTAAAAAATGGTGTCAATGCAATAATGACTGTGACAATTGGTGACAATATAGAGTTCTAGGTCCTATTCATATTAGTTTTAAGCCCCTGTTCATCCTGAACTTACACAATGGAATAGATGGAAACCTTAAAACACAGCAGCATCTTAAATTAATCTTAAAAATTCTAACTTTTAGTTGTGCTACACCACTTTACCCTGAACACCCCCTTAAAAAAAGCAAAACAGACCATCAGCTGGGTCTCTAAAGGTTAAAGTAATATAGTTGATTTTAATCTATGGTCCTGCTGTACCAGTTTGTCTTCCTCTGGTCTAAAATGCAGAGCAAAGATTGAGCAATATATTTTGTTACATAATGCAGAAGCTCCGCACCATTTAATGAACGAGTCCTTCAGGACTCTTACGAACTGAATGGACATGACCTTTATATGTTTTAACATGGAGGAATTGTACCACATTCATATCTTATCAGTTGCATAAAATGGCAATTATTTCTGGGTCAATATATCATCCATTAAAAATGTGACTGCGAGCAAATGTTGCATATCCCTAGAAATATGTGTTTAATAATCTGTACACGCACTTCAATCCTATATATGTATATTTTGTATTCAATAGAGATACTCCATATAGATATATATTTGTATATAATTACCTTTTTCGTTTATCTTCTAAAGTTGAATATCTCTACCGTTTATCTTCAATTTTATTTTATTTCTAATTCATGAACAATGCCTTGTCTACAAGCCTCTGGGCCAATACATTCCCGATAATTGCGATCAATAAAATATATATTTAATTAAATCTAGATGAAGTGACCCAATACGCTTTATTAAGATCCTAATGTAAAAGAAAGCTTACATAACTAAAAAGAACATGCAGGATCCTCCACACATTCAGAAGGTGCAGGGATGAAGCATCACATCATGTCACATGATGCAGGAGCTCCACACTGATGGATGGACCTTTGGGTAATGACCGTGTTTCCACATGAGACAGGATGGCATTGGGACATACAGGACATTATACAGATGGATCAATGAAAGATGTCCTTATTGAGAGATTACTGCTGAATGCCTAGTAGAGAATATAATGCACATGCTGAGGTCAGCCTCATGGGGGCAGTGTCTCCACTGCAGAGAGCAGGCAGCAGCAGCATGCTCCATGAGAGGCCCAATTCCAAATCACACCCTACCCACTCCCACTCCGTGACGGAGTGACACTCGCAGCTTAACAAGGCTCCCTCCCTCCTGTCAGATGGAGGGAGTAAATACAGCGGCAAGCTTTGGGACAAACTCCCCTCTCTCCGGCAGAAACAGGAAATGCCGTAACTGTATGTAACAACGGTTTCAAATCAGCATCTCTTAGAGAAAAATAACATGTATAGCTAAAATAAAACTCCAAACATCTTTAATTGTGTTACTTTTTTGTAAAGCTCTTTTAGTTTTAAACCTGATGTTTATAAGCTTCTTAGTTTTTGCAACAGTCTGTAAATATACACAACTTTAAAATAAAATGCAACAGATCCTAAGTTAAACAAATATGAGGTTATCATGAGGTTGTTAACATCGCAGTTTATCAGTGGATGTTTGCTGGAACTGTTTTAAACAGCTTGTTTCCTGACGGACACACACAGCGTTGAGTCCAGTCAGGTAGTGCAGCAGGTGAAGTCAGCACCGATGCAGAATCGCTGTTTGAGGGCTTGATAGCCCACTCCCCCTCCACACCTCTCCACACTCGTTGGTTTGGAACAGCACTTAATGTGGCGGACCCTCCACGCGAACGCGCAAACGGAGGGTTAGTGTGTAGGGGTAGGGTGTAGGCAGGGGGTGGATTGGAATTGGGCCTGAGTGTCAACACACTGATAGGTGGATATGATGCAGGAAGATGGCAGATTTTGTGCATAATTGACTATGCTTTAATCTGTCCTAATACTTCATTGGAGCAGATATCACACCTCATCTTCATAGCATTTTCATTTTCACTGAACAAATAATTGCTTCAGAGGTTTTTACTGCCCAACAAAATGCTGTTTTGGCAGGTAATTATAGCTTTAGATACTTTTTCTTTTAAATGCAAACACCTAAAGCCTCAGTACTGATGTCATTTTGTGAATACATTTGAACACTCTTCTGTGAGTCGTAGAAAGAGTTTCCATCTAAACTTCATCAAAAAATACAACAACATTAGCCTTCTATTGAAATGGATAAGGTCCACATGTGAAAATGTTTTGACATCTGACCAAAAGTTAAATGGTTTTGGGGTTCTGAGATTCAATTCAGAATTCTTACTTTTTTCTAAGAACCCAAAAAATAAAAAGATTTGTACTTTAGGTCAGATTAAAAAAAAAATCCACATGTGGCCCTATTTATAAATTAGACATTAAATCCAAATGTATCCTTATCATTCATTAGTTGATTCCAGTGCCTGCATAGTAAAGTGTATATTTTATTTCCAGCAAGGCTATGCGACTTTTCTACTTGAAACATTGCCCTCCCTATAGCTGCCATTTTAAAGTTTTAAAGAGTTATAACCGATATATCTATATATATATATAACATTTAGTGTTTATGAGTAACACTGTTTCCATTTTTATAAATACCAAAAAGTCTCCTTTAAAGGTGCATGCTTGGTTCCAAATAAAGAATCATGACACATTTGATGGAGCATCCTCAAAATATGGCAATATTGCAAATACTGTAACGTTACACATTTACAGGTATGATGAGAAGGTATGGCAGATGACTGGGGGATGTTTTTGAGGTGCTTTGAGGAGAATGAGCTTTGTATACAGTACCTTCCACTTTGAAAAGAAGCAAGCAACAGTAGAAGAGAAGGACAAACAGGAAGAGAGAAGAGCAGGACATGAGAACACATAGCCAGAGAGAAGGAGACAAAGCAAACAGCAGAGAAGAGACAGGAGGAAAACACTCACAGTGACCAGAGCTTAGATTAAAGGGGACATATTCTGCTCACGTTCAGGTTCATATTAATATGTAGTGTCTCTACTGTGACATGTCTCCATGCTTTAATGTTCAAAAAGAGCCCTGTCTGCTCTGATTGGTTAGAAGGCCGGCTCTGATGTGATTGGTCAACTGCTTAGAGATGTCCCGCCCCTTATCAAAGCAGACCATTAACATGAACCCAATAGGGCCTCTGTAACATAAGGAACAGGAAATACACACTTTGACATTTGGTCTATTGGACAGAAAAAGCTGCCTGTAGAGAGAAGTGTGGAAAGGAAAGAGCAGGTACATACATCTCCGTTCATCAGCTTGCAGTCGTCCTCCATCTCATCAGCACTGTCCTCGTCCGACACGTCTCCCTCCTCAGCATCCTCGTCGATGTTGGGGGGCAGTTTCTTCCCCTGGGGGAGAGGAGAAAGAGTCAGTACAGCTTCATGCAACTTTCATTGAATCCATGTGTTGGTCAGGGACCTTTAAACTAGATGGGCCTTGGTTTTCTCTAGAGCTGACCACTGACTGCCGGTGAAAAAGTCACTTCCTTAATTACAATGATGAGGTACTTCACTTTTCTTTACATGATACTTTCTAATTTAACGTCACACCAAATGAAAGTGAATTACTGTTATTTCTACTGGACTCAAGATTTTTGTATAGCTTCAGTTTCTTTACACATTAAGACTATTGCATAACATTTTTCAAAAATATGATATTTTGTTACAAATTAAAGTAGTCCATAGTACATACAAAAAATTGCTTAGACGATTCATCAAGTAGCTGATTGGAAGATAACAAGTTGGCAATTATTTTACATTTAAGTAAATTAACTCATTTATTTCAGATAATTTAGAGTTTTTTGGGTGTTTTTTTTAAATGTATCTGAGGTATCTGACAAAATCGTTTGAATACGTTAAGTTAACATTGTACTAACATTGTACTTACTTTGACTTACAACAGAGTGTTTTAACTGTGTGCTGTCAGTACTTCTACTTAGGTAAAGGATCTAAATACTTTTCCACTACTGGTGTACATCAATCATCCCAGTGTTAGTTCTCTCAGCTATCTAAACACAGGACCAGTAATCAAGGCAAAATATATTGCAAGAAAATTAGGTAGGATTTGAAGTTTGTCTACAAAGGAACAGATCTAAGAATAAACATCCATGTGCTTTTCAGTCCTGCTCATTTACAAAATGTGCACCAAATGTTCATACATAATTCCATCAGAGTCAAAACATTTGTTTTCCCCAACTAAATCCAATCAGTTTTATTTTTTACAATTACTTTGAGCTGAAGAATTTCCTCATGCCTAATTACACAACAGAAAGTTCTTAGTCTGCAAATTCCTGTTGAATTTTTTAATTATGTTAACTGGGTAATAAGCAAATATTTGGATATACAAGTCTCATAGCAAAAACACTTCAAATGGTTAAGATCAGTGCTAATATTCACAGGGAAATTATAAGCATCTTCAAACAGTGAACGGTAACTTGAGATATGCATAGCAAAAAATATATATCAGGTGTCAGAGCCACACTTTCCTCTGCTTCAAACCCAGCCTTCTTCTTTTATAGTGAGAAGGTGTGAATGTGAAAACAGCAGCAGCTCTGACAGACTGTGGAATAAAAACACTCTCTCTGTCACATTTAAACTCCCTGCCTGAAGTTTGGAGGAATGTTTTAGCGCCTCGTCTGCCAGAAACTGCAGCTCACTTTCTGACAATACTATTATTCTCTTCTCTCTGCCATTGTTCTCGCTGCCTTGCTAAAACTTTTACTTCACCACGTTGATAATTGCAATCAGCAGTGGCGGTGCCAGGGTATGGCTGGGGTAGGCTACAGCCATACCAAGAAATGGCTTAGCCCCACCATGAAAAATGATGTTAAAGGCAGCAAATTAAATTAAATAAGCAAAATGCTAAATGTTGAGAACACGGATTGTGAAAATATACGGGTCGTGTCCACAACACACAAACTGATCCTGCTGTAACAACAAGTGCACGTTACTGATGCAATATGGTTGAGACCATTCGGGCTTATGCTAGAAGAGGGGTGCAAGGAATAGTCTAAGTAGTGGGGGAGTTTTATACACTAAAGGTGTGGAAATTCTCTGGCGTTATAATATCAGCGCGGCCGCGGTCAGATCAAAATGCCTCCGAATGCAATTTGAATAGACCTACAGCCAATCAGAGCAACGCAACGTTGGATCTGCGTCATGCCTTACTGATTGAGATCAATCGAAACCGCCGTTCAGTATCCCCATTGGATCTTCAACGTGTACTATCATACGTCACGTTCACAGTGATCCCTTTTTATTTACTACAAGACAAATGTGCCGTTTTATTTCATACAGTTCCATTTTGATTGAGACAGGGAAATAATCTAAACCTCACGCGTGGCGTTTCACTGTCAAGGGGGGCGATATAGCGTTTATGTAATTACATTGCAAATACTGACTTGAGCCCCACCACTGTATGGGTTAGCCCTATAGATTACCCAACACAAATACTCTGGCGCCGCCACTGGCCATCAGATAAAAATAACTTTGCCTATCAGTTGTGCTGATGAAATTACTTGGCTATTTAAGAAGGGGCTTATGGGGGATTAAATATTACCAACCAATGCTACTGAGTCAGTGTGGGACTTTATTTTCACTACATCTACCATTATCCTGAAGAGAGTGTTGAATAATATTCTGTAATCCAAACCAGGAATGGTCCGACTTTTGATCCAACAGTCACATGACTTCTCATCACCACCGCTAAGCTAAAGGTGGCAGTAGTAGTTTGATGAAGCTACTTGTTAGCATCCATCGTTTTTTGGACACAAAGAGGCTTCGGTCATTCACCAGTTGGTTGTTTTTTTTATGTCGTAGAACATAATAACATAACATAACATAGCAAATCTTTTCGCTTGTTTCAAAATCTTATTTCAGGCAAAATCACTTAAAAAAAGAAAGTTTCTGGTAAATGTTTGTTTTCCTTGTGTCGTGTCTTAATATTTTGTCCTCATTGATGTTGCAAATGGAGCTGCTGTGATGCAAGTAACATTTCAGACTTGAACGGCCAATTAATTATTATCGTGTAGTTTAGGACTCCTGCACCACTCCATCTCAGTTTGGGAGCTTTATTGTCTCAATATGTTCCCTGTTAAAAAAGTGATATTTGTGGCCTGAGAGACAAGACCCAGGGCTACCTGAACACTGTCCCAGCTCTTAGAGTTAGCTGAAAACGTACGGTATCAACTGAGGGCAACAGTGATTAGCATAGCTACATTTTTATCAACTCAAGAGCTTTTTTGTACTCAGGTTGGAAGTGGAGCCTGTTATCCAGAAAAGCTCTGAACATGCAGCAGTCAACATTATGTATACATTCAACATTATCCTAAAGAGAGTGTTTAACATTTTTCTGCTCTCTAAACGAGCTATTCTGACTTTCGTGTTTAGCTACAAAACCTTCTCATTTAGATCACAGCAATTTGATTGGTTAGAAAATAGCTTTAATGCTGGTTCTAAGACTGGTTGCTAGAACATTGTCAAGCAATGTTTCCTGTAGGAAATATATCAAAGAAGCTCATTTATTTATCAAGGTAATGTTTTCGATGTTTAAAATGGTTAAAGCCCAGTCTCCACATAGCTCACAGGGTAGAGATGTTGGTCCATGTACTGGGGTAGACGCAGGTTTGAATCCCACCTGCAGCCCCTTTACACATAACATCCCCTCTATCTCCCACCTTGCCAATCTATCTCTCTAATAAAGACCCACAAATAGTTCCAAAAACATGTTGAAGCCTGTAGTCCCTTTGTCATGGTGGTCTGTTGACATTATCTCTGTGTGGTGATCCCTCCAGAGAGCAGAGCAGCAGAGCCTTGCAGAGGACTGAGCAGCTGATAAAGCCATCACTCAGGTCCTTTTACACTACCTGTGGCACTCTGCTCTCCTCATTACAGGCCTCGAGGGGAGATAGAGTGAGAGACTCGATAGAGAAACGTTGTAAAGGCGTCAGTCGTCAAAATATGTTGGTAACACTGTCACTGCCAGAGCCATGGATCTAATACACTGGAGGTAGTTTGTCGTGGTTAGCAATCACTCTCCATCACAGCGTCATGAGCTGGAGGCCTGCAGGCGGCTCTCGTTTCTTCATCCCAGTTTATATGTAACCATGTTCCCTTCTGCATTAACGCAGATCTGCGTGACTGCGTCAGGATTAAGTGACAACGCTTCAGTAATATCACGTCTGCTCTAGCTTGGGAAAAACGATATGGGTTGTTTATCAGTCAGTGCAGCGTCAGGACGTAGGTAATAGTGTTTTTATCCCACAAAATATGAATTTGACAGGTACAGCATTTCATAGAGCATCTTTTTCAAAGTAGATAAAAACAGGGCTTTTTTAATGTGATAGAACATCAGTTATGCATATTTGAGTAAATGTTACATTATTCTAAAAATATTAATTCACCGTGGATTTAAACAGGTAGTGTGCTGTGTAGCAGCTGTCAGAGCAGTCCTTACAGTGTCAGGTACTGGCAGAGTGCCTTGTATTTAGCAAAGGCATCTGGCATCAATAAAGCCTCATTAACCTCAATACTGCCCCCCACCCGCCCTGCTAACAGAGGACCACTGCAGCTCCACAACAAGCCTCTGTTAAAGCAGTGTCTAACTAACTTTGCCTCCACAGTGCCAGCCTGGACAGATGGTCAATTTGATAAAAAATAAGGGGGGAAAAATGAGGCTTCAACTACACTGATGTCAACCTATTTAGCTTCAGTACTGGGGGATCATGTAAAATGTCACTGTCAGGTTTGTAAAGCTATTTATTCAGTGTTTCCACAGCAATAACATACTGTAAAAAAAAGACCAGTTAAGGGACAGTCTCCTCCAACTTTATTTAGGCAATGTTCAAGAGATGATTTGATGATGAGGCTAATTTTAACACATCAACACCTCCTTTATATTAGCTACAGGTGAATGCAACTGTCAGAAAGCGAAAATGTAATTCTATCAATGATCTTCACGACGGTCACATGACTTCACGTCATCAAGGCTGAACTAAAGGCGATTCATGTTCAGCATGATGATGTTTAGTAGTCTGATTTAGTCACTTGTTAGAAACTGCCGTTCTTAGAACACATAGAAGCAGGGGGTATGTTTTTATGTTGTAGAACAAAACGTGAAAGACCTTCAGCTTGTGTTAACCACATATCTTATTTCAGGCATCTAACCAAAAATGTGTTCAAAAACCATCGACTTTGAGACCAGAGAGCCAATCAGTGCTTAAATGCTGGCTAATTTCTGAGTCTAGGACTCAGTTCATTTTTCTAAATAACAACTGTAATAAAGAGAATTTAGTGCTTTTTTCTTTTCTTTTTCCGACCAATCTACTGCTCTACCCTCCAGGGCAGAAGGTGGCAGTAAAGCACTTGATCGCCGTTTGCCGACCTCCAAAAAACCTCAAAGAACAATAATAAGAAGGGTTGAGGACTCCTTCCTGCACCACTATATTCCAGCTGGGGAGCTTTGTTTCTCTGGGCCTTTCTTATTTCTCTAATTTCCCCTCCTCGACTCCTCGACTCCTCGGTCCTCCGGTAGTGACCCGGAAATGTTTTTTAGCTCGCCATGTTGAAGGACATCTCATTTCTCTAAATGCACCTCGAGGACCGAGCATCGAGCGTCGAGGAGGCTCTCTGGAGGAGCTATAACCGAGGATACACTGATGGGTCCTCCACGGTCCTCCACGGCTCCTTCGTGGATGCATTTCCGGGAACAGAGATGTTTCAAAGAGTCGTGGCGCACGGCCGGACTTATCTCAGCCAATGACAGCTCTGCATGCATCCCCTGGATATTATTTTATTAACTGCTTTCATCGCGACGCGATGTTTACAATGAGAACAGCTGTGAGGTCCGTGCAGAAAGCAGAGCAGTGTGTATAATATATATCACTCAGTATAACAGGCCTACTCTCTTTGTTTGCTTTAGTTTAGTAGATATCTACAAACAAAGAGTCGATATTTGTCTAAAACCATTTAGTGCTTCACATAATAAAAATATACAACGGCTGTAGCCTGATGATATGCTTTAGGAGCTGTAGGTGTGTGTGGTACAGTGTGTAGGGACAGACAGCTCCCCGTTGGTTTGGTGTCCTATGCTTACTTTTAATACTTGTAAATAAAACATTTTGCCCGTAATTTCATTTCCTCATTGTAGCGACCAGAGAGGGGGGGATATATCCAGTCTCTGATATATAAGTCATCATGAACACATCTGTCCATCAGACAGAGGGCTGCTGTGCCTCCTGTCATCATTAATGGACGTCTCTTTAAAATGACCGCTCAGAGGAGAGGATTTCTCATTTCTCGAACCGCCTGCTGCTTCCCCTCCTCTCTCCTCGGTTCCCCTCCTCGGCTCCTCCGCTCGCATCTCCTGTGGGCGGGACTAAGACACGAGGATAGGAGTCGAGGATAGGAGTCGAGGATAGGAGTCGAGGAGGGGAAATTAGTGAAATGAGAAAGGCCCCCTGTATTTTTTCCGTATAAATATATATATTCCTGGCCTTAGAGACAAAGCCCTGGCTTGCGGTCCAATAGTCCATTTAGCTTAGGAACCTTCCTAACGGAGTGAAATGACCCGGAAGTCCCTCAGTGGCAGCCATGATAAGTGCCGTTCCAATTCTCTAAATTAAAGGAAAGGAGGTTTCAAACTTCCTTTATAACCTCCTTTAGCCTAGGAACCACTGGACCTCCCTTTACGAAAGGAGAGGAGAAAATGCTGCCCCACAATGCCTTGCGGCCGCAGCATTTGCCGTCACACAGCAGTCGGCCGTTCACGGAAACAACCGATTATGGCAGAGAAATGATATCATGAAAGTTACGGTGCTTATTAAGCATTTTAAAACGTATGTGGTAAGTTGCCAAAGTGCTTTGTTTTGAACGTTCATCAGTATTATAATCAAAAAGAGAAATATGAACGTTAGTTTTTACTGAAATGATCAAATAAAGTCAACATTTCACAGTCTTTACTGAGCTGTGTGGGGTTTGTTCAACTTTTAAAAGATGTTTGAATGGTGATATACACAGTGATAGATGTTAAGGACTAACGTTTATAATAAATACATTTGTATTGATTTTAAGATCTTTTCATACAATCATATGTATTGGGATCATTTGTATTAATGTGGACCGGAGGGAGAGGGTGACGAGCATAAGTTTCACTTTCCTTTTTTATTTCAATTCCAACTTTGGTCATGAAGAATATGTTTCTCTGTTGTCCCCGTTCATAAAGCATAAAACAACAGCATCAGAGCACGGTGCAGAGTCTCTAGATGAGTTTACAGTAGTCCCTCGTTCTTATTAAACATCATGTTGTAGTCCGCTGTATAGAAAACTGTAGTTTCCATAGTTTCCCCACAGCAGCAGACGCACATTTATGACCTCTGCTGGCGCATCATAAACACGTCGGATAGTGAAAGTGCAGTCGGATTCTCTAAAGTACCGCAGTCTCTTCTCCTAAATCCTTTTGAATTCTCCTATCCACTATCCCTTAACCCCGTGACGTTTCACTCAGAGGTCAAGGGATAGACGATAGGAGCTGATTTTTGGACTATTCGACCGTAACCCAGGGCTTCCTGACACTTGACACAGCTCGTTATCTGTAGAGAGCAGGACTTAGGATATAGTTTTAGTACAACACAGACCAAATAAAAAGGCAGTCTTCAGTCTGCAGATACCAAACACAGTCCAACTTCAGATTTGTATTCCTTCCCACAGTCGAGATTAGTTTTTTGTTCTCTTCTCCAAACACTCAAACACTTTCTAATCACATCTGATCATCTCACTATCTCCTCTCTGTGAGCACTGCAGATCCTAACACGTGAGCTGCCTGAGGGCCGACTCCTGAGACTCAGTCACTTTTTAAACTTCCTCTGAGTCTAACATCCATGCCGTGACTCTACCTTGACGAGGATTTTGCCCCTGAGTGTTTCTGGAGACGGCAGGTGTCCAGACTCCTCGGCTTTGATGTTGGACACGTCCAGTTTGTCCCCCAGGATCTCAATCAGGTACTGCGCCATCTTCTTCTGCTGGGGAACGCTGCAGTGGTTCTCTATGGAGAGGATGACCGGGTAGCTGAGAGAAAATCACAAAACAGATGGGAGTGAGAGGCATAAAAGATCGAGGAGGAAAAGAGGGAACGGTTATTTCTTTAGGAATATGTATCAGTGTTAAGATAGTATACCACAGTAAGGACATTCCAATAACACTCAGCAGGAATTAGATAACATTTATTACTTGAAAAAGGTACAACATTCTCAAAATAATCTTCAATGAAATGTCATTACAAATCTTGTTGAGTATCTGCATTTAGCACCTATAATATCTCATTTCAAGACCTTTTGATAATAATAATAATAATAATAATAATACATTTCATTTTTATAGCGCTTTTCCTGGTGCTCAAAGACGCATTGATGGGGTCATTCTTTATTGGTTTCAGCACCAATTCCATCTGGAAGGCCAAGGATGCTCAATAAATTATCTCCATTTATTTATCTAATGTGCTCATGTACTTAATGTATGATTAATGAACCGCCAAACAGATTGGACCCTAAGGACGGCTAAGAACTCATTTCTTTTGGATTAAGATTTGATAGTGAGCTGATTGGCTCTTCATTACGTTTAAATGTATATGTAGCCTAAAATGCTTTGGGAATTACTCTTAACCTAAAATGTGGAAATGTCAGAGCTTGCGTCTTATACTTAGCTATGCTAGCAGCACGGCTCTAGCAATTGATTGCTATTACACTTTGGATGGATTTTCTCTGCATCTTGATGAGATTATCACCTTCTGTTGTGAGGAGGAGGGGTGTGTGTGTGTGTGTGTGTGTGTGTGTGTGTGTGTGTGTGTGTGTGTGTGTGTGTGTGTGTGTGTGTAGCTGCATCCGCACAGGTGAGAGTAGGATTCTATTATTGTTGGTTAACACGGATACGAGAGCTCACTTACAATTACACCAGTTTCCTTCTCACAGATCTAAACCCAGTTTATCACCTATGAAAGTTTGTGTAGTGACGTGTTAAACACCTTTCACACAAATCAAATATAAGACAATCATATGTTGGTGTTATATATTCATGCGTCTGTTTCAGTCGTATCTGCACATACTGTATTTTATACAGAGTTTAAAGGGGACCTATTATGCAAAATGCACTTTTTGATGTCTTTTATACACGTCCCAACCTATCGTCTCCGGCACACGTGACACGTGTGGAGGCTATTGTTATATAAGATTAGAAAGACTGATTCTTATTATTACATTATAAGCTTATTATGCTCATTTATGTGGCTGTGACTTTGGAATAAATAGACGTCTTTAGCCTGCAATACAGAGTAGCAAGGTCAGGTGCAGACACTGGAAGAATACAAAGAGTTACTCATAAACAGGACATCGCTCCGGCCTTGAGTTGTATGCTTCGCTCCCACAAACAGCTAGGAAGCAGCATTATGAAGATTCCACTATATCTGCAGAAAGCTTCCGAAAAAACAAATTACGTATGATGGCGCCAGAGTAGGGAGGGACTTCCACAGGCCGCCCGAATGCTGATTGGAGGATCGTGTTGCCAAGAGACTTTTTTCTAAGTCTGCGCACCTACCAAAGAGAACCAAGTCTAAACCATGGTATCTCTTCAACTAGTCTTGACCAATCATAAATGTACGGGCAACGCCCTGTGTAATACAAATGTATGCACGCACGAGGTTCAAGGCTCTTGTCCGTAAAAAGACTGACAGATTACAGCTTTGCTGCCTGTGATTTCTATGACGTGACCTTGGCCAAGTGAATATATATATTTTGCTCTCTCATAATAAATAGTTAAACTTAGAAGTCGTCTGTCTTTCCTGGAATTTTGAACACAACACACGTCCCAACCTATCGTCTCCGGCACGCGTGACACGACCCAACCTATATTCTCCGGCACACGTGACACGTCCCAACCTATCGGCCCAATCCTAAACCACGCCCTACACCCTACCCCTACACACTCCCCCTCCGTGACGAAATGAACTCCGTGGAGTGACACTCGCAGCTCAACGAGGCTCCCTCCTGTCAGATGGAGGGAGTAAATACAGCGGCAAGCTTTGGGACAAACTCCCCTCTCTCCGGCAGAAACAGGAAATGCCGTAACTGTATGTAACAACGGTTTCAAATCAGCTTCTCTTAGACAAAAAATTAAAATTAATAACTAAAATAAAACTCCAAACATCTTTTAGTTTTAAACCTGATTTTTATAAGCTTCTTAGTTTTTGCAACAGTCTGTAAATATACACAATTTTATAATAAAATGCACACATTTACCTTTTTCTAGACTAAACAGGTATATGATCCTAAGTTAAAAGAATATGAGGTTATCATGAGGTTGTTAACATCGCAGTTTATCAGTGGATGTTTGCTGGAACTGTTTGTAAACAGCGTGTTTCCTGACGGACACACACAGCGTTGAGACCGGTCAGGTAGAGACCGGTCTCCAGTCAGCACCGATGCAGAATCGCTGTTTGATGGCTTGATAACCCACTCCCCCTCCACACCGCTCCACACTCGTTGGTTTGGAACAGCACTTACAGAGCTTACACACGGCGGCGTGCGTTGAAGCTTCAACGCTTCTGCCCATTCACTTTGAATGGGGTGACGTCAAGCTCCGCCGAACTGCATTGTGGAAGCAAAGCGTAGCTCAAAAGTTGAGCAATGTTCTACTTTTGAAGCTTCGACGGAAGCGTCAGCCAATCGAATCATATGCCAGTACAAGCTCTAGCCAATCAAACCGCGTGCTTGTGTGTCCGAGCGGGAGATTCATGTGATTGGTTGTTGGTCGAGCGTCAGACACGCCCGCCGGCAAGCTTCAACGCACGCCGCCGTGTGTAAGCTCCGTGAATGTGGCGGACCCTCCGCGCGAACGCGCAAACGGAGGGGTAGTATGTAGGGGTAGGGTGTAGGGCGTGGTTTGGGATTGGGCCATCGTCTCCGTATACAGTCGCAGCTGTGTGTCTGTGTATTCAGCAGGATGTCTGCTGGAGGCACTTAGAGTAAAGTTGTTATAATACATATAATGGCACTGTTCTAGAGGTAAACACTTAAGAAAGAACATGCCAAGCTATGTGCTGTATCAGAAACAATGCGTGGCGTGTTTTGGGAGTAATATGCTGTGTGTTTACATTAGCAAGCATGCTAACACTCAGAGCTAACCATGGAGCTAACGCTGTAGGCTATGTACACTATGGTATTATTACTTTTACTTAGGTCAAAGGTCGGAGTAATTCTTCCACCACTGTTAAAAGTGAACGTCTGCAGTTCTTCTTTTAGAGGACGCCCCAAACCTCCTCCGAAATAAGTACTTTAGAAGTGTATTTTTAAGTAGTTCTTAACAAATGACTTCAGCAAAAGGACACAACCCTGTCACAAGGACATATGTTCCCTGAACCAAACAGAAATTCAAGTCTCAAAGTGTACCAGCAAAGTGTTTCCTCTTTAAAATGTTTTTAAGATAAATGTGATTGGCTCTGAAGATCACAGACTCATTTCACACTCAGAACTGTATGTTTCTTACTGTACCTATTGGCAAGGATGCTTTCATGCATAACATATTTGTAACACAAAGACTGATATTCACAAAGCCTCGAAAGTCTAAGCCTAGCTCCTAACAGGTTAAGTTAAAAGAACCACTATCAAGACTGTGGGTCTTTACTTGAGCTAATGCTAACATCAGCGTGAAAACTTCTTGTCTACTTTTTTCTTTTATACAGTGACAAACACATTGCCATACTCTGAAATAGATTTAAAACACATGCCATTTAATCACAACATCCAAGGCTCTATCTCTTTGCCTTTCCTGTCTTTGTTTTTCTAAAAAACAATCAGAATCATAGATACACATTAAGACTCAGCAATCTGTGGCATACTTTCCAGAGTCAATGCTCTGTCCTCAACAAAGCACAATGCATCCAGCCCCCCCTCCCTCTCTGTTTCCGAAGATGTATTCCCTCTGCCTCCAGACACTGGTACTGGCCGACCCTACTGTGGATGGATCCGGTCCTTCCATGACAAAACACTTGAGGAGATGAACTACTCCCTCGTTGTGAGTGTGACGCAGGGATCCATCCCCTAAAACACACCTGGTTGCTATCCTGGCCCGAAACGGTAGAACAAGATCCCCACTGATATCAGCACAGCAGGGACACTTTACATCATCCATTGCACACTGAAAACCCTACAGTTTCCACGGCACCTTGGCGAATAAACACAATGAAAAAACACAACAATTATCTTTACTGTACGAAGCACCTAACAAGTTTGTATTTGCAGCCAACGCAGCAGGACTTACAACAGTTTGGCTCCTTTATACCTGTACTTGCATGTCTCATCCGTTTTATATCTTAATGGTTGATACTGTAAGTGGCTTTGGATAAAAGCATACATGAGAAATGAGAGATACATTATCAGAAACGTGGCTAGATAAATCTATTTTGGCCTCTCACATCTACTTAAATGGTTATAGTGTATATCGTACCGACCGTCCTAAAAAAGGTGGTGGCGTTGCCATTTATGTGAAAAATAAGTTGTGTGTAACCAAGATGGTTTCCAAATCTATTAGTAAACAACTAGAATTTGTAGCCTTAAATATCGAAGTAGCAAAGGGTCAACAGGTCATGGTGGTGGGCTGCTACAGATCCCCCTCAGCTGTCAAGGACTCTTTATCTTCATTGGCAAAACTTTTATCTCAACTTGACTACAAGGAAATAGTGCTGCTTGGTGATTTTAATTGGGACTGGTTAACTTCTGTGTCAGAGGATTTTAAAAACCTTTGTATCTCTCTGAATGTTACTCAGATTATAGACAGTCCTACTCGCCCTAACATTAAGTCCCCAAATAAATCCTCCTTAATTGATCTCATTTTAACTAATGTTCCCCATAAATACTCATCTGTGGGAGTATTATCGAATGATGTGAGTGACCACTGTGCTGTAGACACAATTAGGGACACAAATGTCCAAAAGGGTAAACCTCGCATTATCAGTAAGAGAGACAAAAAACATTTTGTGGAGCAGGGTTTTGTACATGATCTGTTTGGGTTCTATTTCA